ATCTGCTGGTTCTGCAGTAGATCTATATAAACGATTGGCGTATATCCCTTGTAAGGCAATCCTGGCCTGTGTATGTAGATAACTGAGTAATGACTGTAAGCGGTGAGTTTCATATAAGCGAGGGGATCCCTAGTTCTGACACCTCTCAACCGCTACGCGCGGCTAATTTGAGAATGGCACAACAGAATCTATTATTGCTGTAACAGGCGCGTCGCCTAGGTAGGGGGCATATAGCGACAACCACAGTCTCAACTGACTTTACAATATGCGACGCATCATGCTGACCCTGAAGCCTGATGGCTGACTTTTGTCGTCACTGTGTAGTGCTTCATCAATGGCTATCAGTTCCCGAAAGTTGATATGCGTCCCGGATCAAATGCTATAATTGCTTCCACAACTCCGTAATGTTTCTCTATCCATGGCAAGCTTATACGTCATTAGCCGCGGTCTTCATTGCGTCGGCCGCTCTCAGCTCAAAGACTCCATTCCGGCTCTTACGACTAAAATGTCATGAGACTTGATAGACTCACCAAAAACCCACAAGACCAAAATCGTTATAGAGGTTTCTATTCGACAGATCTAAAGCACCTAAGAACAATTCGCCTGGCTCCTGCCAATTAGGACTTTGAAGTCTTAACGTCACTAGGACGCCTCCGTTCACCGAATCCTATCATATCAAGAAAAGATCCTCTTCTTTTCTCCTGCTGCGGCGCAGGAAGAACCATAGCCTTGAGACCAATCTCCTCCTTCTCGCCGGGAACTTGCACAACGACGTGACCACAGTCGGCGAAGCCCAGGCCAGAGAAGAAAATGTAGCCCGACGAACTCGTCACCGCCGATACAGCTAATCCCTTTTCCCCGGCCAAGTGCATTCCATGCTGGCAGAGAAGCTTCGCATAGCCCAGGCGCTGGTACTCCGGGTGAATAGCAACGACATGGAGGTGCAGCTGCTGGCCGAAGCGGGTGAGCTGACGCTCTCGGCAGGCGGCAACAGCGTTGCTGAGCGCAATGATACGAGGATTTTCCACGTTGCTGGTGTTGGTCCCAGTCGGCCCTCCGTCTACAACAATACCTCCAGCTCCCCCGAGGGCCTCCCCCGCCACTAAAGATTAGCCATTTTATTAGCGCAGCTTTTTTCTCAGACCAAGTCTCTGTCCACGACGGCAACACTTCCTGGAATGGCTCAGGAAGTGATTGCGTTCAACCGGCCGATGACTTGGGACGTTATGGACGCGCCTACCTGTCAATCCTTGGGAGGCGGCGTTATCGTCAACGTGCTCTTGTATTCTGGCATCGGTCCAGCTCCAGACGGCAACGCCCACGGGCTTGCGACTGCCAGGGTCTTCCGTCACGCAGACGAGCCAGTCGGTGTTACCAGGCGCCAGAGTCTGCTCCAGGGCGCGCTGGACGTACATGCCAGAATCGTGCTTGACAGAGGAGCGGGCAGGGAAGCAGTATTTCCATTGGTAATCTGCCGGCAAGGCCTTTGTTATGATGACTTGAATTGCCGGAAGGTCGGCCTGGATTGCTGTTCGAACCGTCATTTTGTAAGGGCGCCCAGGAAGCCGACTCTGTGGTGGGCTTTAAAGGTTCACGTAGGCGAGCGTGTGATAATACAAGGTTAATGAACGTACGGGAAAGGAGGACACCCGAACTAGTTATGGGCTCTATGGAAAGAGAACAGGAACTTGACGGGGGACTCTTGTAGTTGGCTTCGGGATATTCAGATGAACGTCCAAGTCTGAGCGAGCACAGGAGGGATTTATGGAAATGAAGTTGATCACGGGCCCGAGGGAAAAGCAACGCTTCGACGTGGCTTGGTTCTTGGCAAGCCTAACCAAATGTCATAGAAGGCAAAGATGGACCAAACTATGACTTGCAGTTTTCTTGGGTTGGCTGTGGACGACCCGGTGACAACACATGGTGCGACACAACGACAGCGGCAGACGAGCTGGAGGCCTCTCCTGCCAGCCAGCGTTGAAAATCCCTCACACGATCAGCTGTCCACCTTGGGCAACGCCAACGGCCAAGCAACTGTTCTCAGCCGCTGCCGGCTGGGATGCAAAGCGCGTTCTGACGCGTCATACCACTTTCGGCTCTGGGAATGATGAGAGGACTTGGCACGCCCGCTCGCTCGCTGCTGGCCAGGAAAAGGGCTGAAAAAGGGCTGACCAACAGCGGAGAAATGCAGAAATGTGCACACGTGCCCCATTTATTTGCCTCCAACCTCTCCTACCTCCATGATGGTGGTAAATTGCTAAGTGTAAACAGGCTGGGGAATAAGTTTGTCAGTTAGTGCACGCCTCTCACTTCTGTCGTCATATTCACGGGCTCCATCCCCCCGGACATACATCAGGGAAATAATTCCCTCAAGCAAGGAATACAGCGAGGCCGCAATGGCTTCGGTCGCTTGGTCTTACCAAACCTCAGCCCAGAATCATCTCGGTATCAAAGTGTCAAATGTCGCTTGCGTATGTCTGTTGCAATGTAACCATCGTCGGTACCAACACCATTCAGCCTCGGCTTACTGATTTCAGCTCTCCCTCATTCTCTCTGTATGCGGTATTTTTCTCTACTTCCAAGCCAGGCACATTGTTCCTTGTTTCTTCTCATCGCCCGCTTGCCAGGATCACTCGACCAGAATCTTGTCAGCATGTGGACATCGAGTCTCAAGTTCATTTGTCTTCGCTGTGAATACGAAAAACCATTTTCTCAATCTGACAACTCTCGACGCATGAACCTGGGTAATGATTGGCCATGTCGACGTGGACATGCGTGGATTTGGTTTTTCGGCATGCTGTGTTGGGCCGGCCTCGCGGCGACACGGCGGTCTCCGGCGAACTCTTTTTTGCCTGAAGCGCCTCAACCGAGTTCGAAATGAATACGAATGCAGGAATCGGGCTCTTTGTGTCGTAGTGTGACGACAATACGCGCATGTCTGGCGCGGCCCTGCTTTCGCTAATCATTTTCCGTGCGGTTAACGTCAAGGGTTTGAGAACCTACGAGCAGATCTGTTTCCAAGATTTCAAGCTTGGTGTTGAGGGTCCCCCAAACCACTCTACTGGCTTCGTGGAAATACTCAGTATGGCGCAGTCGTTAGGGAGTTTTCATCCAATTCCAGTGACTACAATGCGAGCGTGGCTTCAACCACAGGAAAGAATAGAGATGTAGGTATAAGGTGCTGTGCCTTTCCATCATAGACTGACAAGATACTAATGATTGCACCGAAACTGTCGCTGGGACACGGGTTTCGCCATCCAATCCCCCAAATCTTGAATGCATCCGGCAGAGGCTGGAAGAGGGGCTGCTTTTCGAGATTACGACATCGTCCCTCTCCGTCATTCAGCGTCTCCGCAAGTGCAATCAAGTCAATTTTGACCCCCTAACTTGCTGAATTAGCTACTTTTTTTGGTGTTTTTGATTACTTGGACCACTTACAATTTAAACAAATCAATCACCATATAAAGTGACGTTATATAGACTTCCTAATCGGGTAATTTCGAGGCTTTCTACAGCCTCAGAAGCCCTCCTAGGGCCCCCTAGAAGGTCCCTCGAGAAGGCCCCCAGAAGGGGCCGTAGAAGGGCCCCCAGAAGGCCCCCCCTAAGGGGGGCCCCTAAAGGGGGGCCCTCACGTATGCCAGCGTGGCTGGCTGTCCTAATAAGTGGGGCACTGGCTGATCTAAGGCCTCCTATTGGCTAGATTATAAGACATCAAGTTAGTCAAGTCAATCGGAGGGGGTTAAATTGACTACTTGAAGGATAGAGATAGCCTCACTTTAACTAGTTGACTTGAATAGTTTACCAATCCGATTGCACTTGCGGAGACGCTGCCGTCATTGCGCTATGATCAGTCGGTCAGCCTAGAAGAATACTCATATATGCGTGGCCGGGCGCTCACTTAGGTGCTGATAAGGCGGGATGCTGTCAACAACTTCCTTTTAATTACGATCGCAACATGCTATTCCGTCAAATGGATAAATGTCAGTTGCCTACAAAGGATAGGACTCATCGCATTCATGTGAAAATGATAAGATCGCTGTCAATATGCGATACTTTAACTGTGGAATGTGACAATCTCAGGCTCCACCGCCTTCAAAGAGTTCCTACTCGGCCGAGTTCGAGCTGATGTCTCATCATGGCTATTTCCAGACTTGTGGGATTGCAATATTCATAAGAGATGAGTCGCATTCTCACTCGACTCGACCATCCATGGTGAGGTAAGTAAAGGCATAAGTTGCTTAAAGACATATATTTTACATGGTTGACTTGGAAACATCTTGGCCATGAGAATGCTACTTATTCCAATTGTCCCCCAGGCGGGGTTTTAAGTCAACGTACCCACTTCCGAAACACCCCCCCATGCGAAACAATAAAAATGCCTCACCGCCACCACCAACCTCCCACTTTCACTAACAACAATATTTTGAATCCCCATCCAAATAACCTCATCTTTCGCACAGCAGTTCCTTTTTGCAATATGCCTCAGTATACCGAGTTTGAGATTAGCCAGGCGATTGAAGCTATCAGCAATGGCAAGAGTCAGAGGGAGGCAGCCCGTCAATATGGTATCCCA